CCAATTAAATGGATTATCCGTGGCCACTCGAAGATTTGACAAACATTTATAAGGGTTCCACGACGTCGGACTTTTGCCGGGGTAAGTAGATTTTTGGAAAAGATCATGCTCGAGTGGAAAAATCCGGAGAATACTATCAGTGACTGGGTACTGGGCCACCTTAAGGGTTTTTGTTGCCCCAAAGCCAATGGATGGAGCTACCAGGTATTTTAGTATCCCAGAATGTAGTCTGGCATCATATGAGTGAGTGTTGGTAGCGGCGCGGGATTTGGTTACGCATTGATGGTTCAGCGAATATTTTGCCGGGGCAAGTCCAAAAACGGTCAAAACGTGGTAGTGGGCCGATCGTGCAATGAGAGCAGAATAAAATGGATAGAATCATATATACACCATAGAAGGGATGCAATAACCATGCTCACTGCCTATGCCTAGTTTCGCAATCATAGCAACACTATGGAATCTGATACAGCGGTGGCGAGCGCATGCTTTGGAGATGAATTTTGGCATCTTGCGAATCTTCAGCATAATAGCAACATGGATAGAGGGTTGAGCTAGAGGAGGTGTCGAGGTGCAGCCGGATATCTGCTGAGCAGAACGAGCGCCAGATCTCGTCGAAGGACGAAGAGGTCGTAGAGAACGAGGCGGTTTATGTCATTCTAAAAATAACAAAACACGTGTTCGGCAACTCATCCGGCCGTCAAAGCCGGCACGGCATCACATCAACTCCATCGACCAGCGTCGAACTTTGGTTTTAGGGGCGCCTCTACATGTCTTCCAACATACAACCAAGCTTAGGCAAGAAGAACATATTTGTACTCGCAGAGGGGCGAAGTGGCCCACTAGGCAGTCGCATATAGTATGCCATATCTGGCGAAGCAAGAAAGGGAACGAGAACGAGGAGAATAGCAAAGCTGACAACCAATGCGTCGAGGTCAGGAACCCTAGCTTTAGTTCTCTCGCTCGACGGCGTCACGGCTTGTAATATTCCTTCATCTTTTTGAATCTCGACCGAGACAGAGCCAGTAGAGGAGTCTGTTCCTTCAGGCCACAAATCAAGTGAAGCTAAATAGTTCCAGCCATACTTCAAACAAACTTACATTTTTCTTAAATTATCCATAAGACCGAGTCGCGTGGTTAAGATGGGGGGATTCGACGCCATGCACGTATTGAAGAAATATTCTCCAGTGACTCGGATACCTATTGAGTCCTAGTGGTTAATCAGTCGCCCGCTGTACCTGATGCTGCCAGTGATCTCTGTTGGGGGGAGTCGAAGTGATCAGCGCCCAAGTGCCTCTGAAATGGGAAGACAAGTGCCACAGTTGGATGACATATAAGACTATATGATAGGTCCCAGAAAACAGGTGTTGGTATCTCGGTGAAGAAATCCGGACGATATATACTTCGAATTCGATCGCGAGTCGAGTAGCCACGCTGAGTGACCCAGTTATTGAACACGAGCCACCGAGTCATGATACGAGGAAACTGTCCGAGAACTGGTGAGGATATTTTGAACCGCTGGCCGTTGTGTGTAGAAAGCGCAGAAGGAAGAGCGATGGTCTTCTCTTCGCCAAAGTCTTTGCCGATGCTTGCCATCTGTTGCGGAGCAGCGACTCGGAGTGATCAGCGCCCAAGTTGCAATTAGTATGCATTGAGGAGAATATTCTCCAGAGCTCACTCAGATCCCCGTTGAATTCTCGTGTTAAATCAGTCGCCGCCTGATACTGATATTGCCAGCGATATCTTTGTTGCGGAGCAGCGACTCGCAGTGATCAGCGCCCAAGCGCCTCTTTAATCAGTAGACAAGTGCCATAGTTGAATGACATGCCAGCCTATGCTAGGTCCCAGTAAGCAAATGTTGGCATGTTGGTGGAGAAATCCGGGGTATCGCTGTAGTCGGAGCGTTCTTGGAGCGTTCAGTCGAATCAGTAATTCCAAGCCATGACATTGATGCAAGGAGGTCGCCCGAGCTAGTGAAGAAAAATGGAGTTGGAATCATGAGCCTGGCCGTTGTGAATATAAAGCGTAGAAGGATGCGTGAGCTGGTCTTGTCTAAGGTGCCTTGCCGATGTTTGGTCGATGTTTGGCCGAGGTCGGATGGCGGTCCGGCACAGCCGCCCTACACAGGCTCCCATTCCCCTATTTGTTGCTCGTTCGCTTCGTGTACGCTCCCTTTCTCCTCCATGGAATTGAAGCAACTTCTGCCGGAGCAAAAGGCTCCCAGCTGCATTGAACGATCGTGATATCCGAATCGACCAGACTTGATGCCGGGCGATTCATTCTCGATGATCTATGCTCGTAGACTCAAACATCGCTGAGCTTGACTGGTTCGAGTCTCTTCCTGGCGTCTTCGGGGCTACTTTCGCCAGGAACTCTGGGAATGGAGCGAGCAGATCCACCTAACTGAGCCGTGGTACTTCTTAGCGGGGTTCTGCGTGGCTAGAGTGCGTACTTGTCTATCGTACTCGAGCGCTCCTCATATACGCAGATCAGCCTTGCAGAGTTCGGCCACATCCAAAGGCAAAACGCCGTCCCCAAAGCCATCAGGTGGGTTTCTTCTCTAGCGCTTGCCCACATGAATTTAGATCATATTTTTGTGACAGTGGCCTCATGACAGCGCGTTTCCTTCACGAAAAGCGCTCAGGCTCGCCCGCCCAATGCACGCCGCAGAGACCGAAGGCTTGATTGAATCAAAAGTTCCTCAAGATGAGCGGAGTTTTCTGTGCCCGGGAGCAACCCGGGCGTGGCAGGTATGTCATCTATGACCTTGTCAGTCCAGGGCCTAGGTGACAAGTATCGCTTTTCAGCAGGATGGTAAGATGCGCTGGAAAGGAACCCCTGCCTCGATGTGGGTCCAGGTGGACATGCCGCGGGGAAACCTGGGCACGGCATTAATATGGATGGCCTGATATCAAGCGCTTGGTCATTCCGAGTCCTGATATACCCAGTCGTGAAGCCGCCGAGTGCCAGTGTCGAGTTCAGGTTGGATGGCGGGTGACATGAGCCTTGGCCGTCGTAAGTGTCGATGAGATTCCAGGGTGTTAACTCACGGAACCCGCAGATGAGCGCTGAGCAACGCGCCTATTGATAATGGCTACTATGCGGTCCGGAGGTTTCACCTTCCAAATTGGGCAATCGTGTCTGACAGGTGCCACCACATAAATTTGCCCCCTTTCGCCGCCCCCCGTTCTTCTCCTCCCAGATGCCCCCTCGATGCCCGCCCACCACCATCCCGAGGAAACCGTTGCCCCCGCCCAGGCGCCGACAGGGCTGAGAGCGCAGCTCCACCATCTTCTCCCTCGCCACGCACTCTTCCACGTCCGCATTACGATCCACCAGCTCGCCAGCGTTCCCCTCGTCAACGGCGAGTTTGGCGTCCGGTGGAGGTTCAAGAACACGCACAAGGTCAAGGGGAAGGGAAAATCCAAGGCCCCTGAGCCAGAGCAGGAGGGCGACGGGGACAGCTTCGGCAGCGCTGATACAAGCGCGGAGGAGCCCCAGACGCTGGGTGTGCCCTCCCACGACCAATCTGCCTCGTCTTCGAGCGTGTTTAGTGCGGACGAGCCGCAGGAAAGCGCTTCGACGCGGGGGCAGACCCCCTGGCTGCCCCTGCGCGACCACTCGGTGTCGTGGGAGCAGTCCCTATCAGCGGTGGTGCAGATGTCCATCGACCGCGGCACGCACCGTCTCCTGCCGCACCCCTTCAAGCTCACCGTTCTCCAGCGGGTCATCGCGCGCGACCCCGACGCGCCGCAGAATCCACAGCTCGGTATCGTGGAGCTCGACTTGGCCGAGTACGCAGATAGCTTTCCCTCGTCGTCGCCGAGCAAGGACATCGTCACCCGGCGCTACCTGCTGTGCAACAGCAAGACCAACGCCACCCTGCGTCTGTCCATTCGCGTCGAGCCCGAGGGCACGCCCCCGCCGTTCGTCGCGCCACCCCTCCCCAACGGCGAGATCCTCGCCGGCGTCTCCTCTCTGCTGTCGACGCACGCGGAAGTGTACCGTACCCGTCCACGCGCGCTCGACTTGTACGCTCCCGTACCAGAGTCGGATAAAAACTTGAAGCCCGCCTTCGACGTCCGCGCACTCCCCCGCGCCTACGGCCCACGCCCCACCGAATCCCTCATCGAGGCCCTCTTCAACCCCGTCCCCGTGCGCGAGGCGCGCCTCGTCAGCCCGTTCACGCGTCTTGTGTCGGCGGAACCACCGGACCAGTATCTCGGCACGTCCTTCACGACCGCGTCCTCGGCTGCGTCGCTCCACAGCCTCACGCCGAGCACGCGCGGGTCGCTGGCTGCTGAGACCGCGCGCACGTCGCTGGCGCCGAGCTCCAGTGACCGCTTCCTCGCGCCGGGCTCGAGTGACGAGCGCTCCCTCGCGAGCGCGAGCCTCAGCCCCAGCAGCAGTAGCCTGCACGGGCACTCGAGCCACTGGTGGCAGCGCAGCCGCGACCGGAGCCGCAGCAGGAGCAGGACGCGGACGGGGACGGCTGTGGCCGTGGCGTAGGGTTCTTCGTGGCATATTCATTGACGGTGTTGCCAGCGCATTTCCCCCTTCCCCCTTTCGACTCCCTCTATTCGGACTGCCTAGATCTCTCTCATTGTCCTCGTCATTTCCGCATACACACTTAGCATACACATACCCCACCGATTAGTTATCGCATACTCGACAACTCTAGCATTGTAATCATTCTGTATTCGGCGGATGGATGTACTCATTTTGTATTCGGGACGGATGGAATTTAACTTGATAGATTTGATTTCGAGATGGCAGGTTTCGAATTTCGCGCGTCAAATAAAGCCACACGCTCGTCACTACAAAAAAAAACTCCCCGTCTGCGCCTCGAACCCACGGCCTCCTCGACTTTGCACATTTTTTTTTGCGAGCCGCTTTCGGACTTGGTGCATTTTCACCGATTTTCGGAAGCCCCCCTTTCGACTTAGTGCAGTTTTACCAGTTTCCTTTCTCTCTCTCTCTCTCCTTGTCAAAGGAACCTCATAGCATCAGTGGTGTAGCGGTAACATTGGGTCTTCCCACGAATCTGCTGTCGTAAGCACAACTGGCCTAGCTCCGGGTTCGACTCCCGGCTGATGCATCGATCCTGTAGCTTCTTCTTTTTATTCCTCTTGTTTTCCTTTCGAACAAGAAAATTCCATAATCCACTCGTTTTTTAAGCCGACTTCTCCTCATCTTTTTACCACCGCCTTTGCTAAAACAACGTTTCCGTGAAATACCCGCCAAAACTGGACAGATGAACTTGAATGTCTGCGAGAAAATCCATAGATCTCGCAAGTGGCAAGTCGCATCGATCATCGCCTGCCAGGAACCCTCTAAATATTTTCGCCAACTCGTTCGGCCTGAACTGAACCTGCAGAACAGGTGGAAGGGGAACCCGATATTTCAATCAAGTGTTGAACCATAAGATCTAGATTCAAAAATCAACCCTCGCGTGACTCTATGTTGAACATTATCTAGATCTTCAAATATGTGTCTGCCCCTTGCTTTTCAACGCAACGCGCCATGACAGCGTCAGATTTGAGCAACCCATGGGTCAAAACCGGGCCCGGGCGGTGCCTGCTGAGCGGCATAACCTTTATGTTCACCGGAACCTGTTTGTAGTCCATCCAAACGCACAACGGCGAAGTTATCGCCAGATTCTTCGCCAGAATGGCGGACCGCTGCGCAAGCAGCTAACTTTTCTTCTGGGAGAAATCGTGGTGAGGATATAGTTGAGGAAATATGCCTATTTGATTGCACACATCTCTGTGTGTTTTCTAGTCCGTCTTTTGACATTCTTTCGAACATTATTTGACATTCAAACAGTTGCCGCATGTATTGAGGGCCTGTTTTGACTCCAACTTGCACTGAAATCTGTTAGTGCCGATGGATATAGATCACGATAGGTCTGTGCGTATCTCGGGCGATGCGCATTTACCATATTCCACAATGTCGTCGTATGCCGTGATCGGAATCCTCTCGTTCACCAGTTCTATGAGTTGGGTCTACGCCTGGCCAACGCGTCCACCCATTGGTGTCAGAGTCATCGTGTCTAAGGAGCGCTTTCAACTTTGCCTCTCGGAGAACGGACTTGTACACCAGATACAACGGGATTCTGTACGAAAGGAGGTCGAAGAGCTGTGTTTCGATTTCCTCGCAGTGCGCAAGTTTTGTGCACTGAAACAACGCCGGGAATAGTCCCCGCTGTGGAGCTTGGTTGGCCCAGGTGAACCCATCTGTGGCATTCTACGTCGACGTGAAATATGCTAAACAGAGCAAGATAGATTTTTTGACCGTATCGGTGGGTTTCTGGCGCAGGAAGAAATTGAGCGCCGCTATGAATCTCCGGATGGAAGACCGCACAAGAAGATATCCTTTCAGTTCTGGGTCGGCTGTGATAAGGGACCCGATCATGGCGACGTCATTCGAAAAGCAGCTGTTGACGCCGCTGTTTTTCTGTAACAGTTGTAAAGAAATGACCATATGATCAATGAAGCGGCGACGTCCGTCGCATAGTCATCCCATCTTCCGAAGACGTGCACGAAAGTAATTGCCGCTTGGATATCGGGATTTATTGTCTTGCATTTGGATTCGGCCATCCATGTCGGCGACGAGCGGGATGAGTTGGTGAAGCTCGGAGGGGGCAGGGAGAATCGGCGCGATGGTTTCCGGCCATTGACCAACGATTTCAATGAAATAAAGGATGACACGAGTTGCTTCGACGGCAGTAGGACACTCCCAACATCTCCACCAGTTTCCATCCGGCCCGGGTCATCAGCAATATCTGGCCAAAGCTCTCACAGTCGTCTCGACCAAGTCCAGACGGGACTTGGTGGGATCGCTCGGCGCAGGGGTTTTAAATGAAAGAGGAATAGATCTAGAGTCGCATTCTTTAGCTGTAAATGGCCTTGGTTGCACGCTATTGTGATTTCTTGCAAAGCTCCTGTTGATCCAGCCAGAGCGCGAGAAGCGATTGCCTGAAAGAATCGGGAATTTCAGCATTATCGCCAGTATTACGAGAAGTTTGTTCACACGGAAACCCAAAGAAATCCCTGGAGATCCACATTGAGTGAGCTGAGTGATTCCATCAATGGAGAAAGCAAGAAAGAGTGTGGTCGTTTAGGGGTTCTACATACACAGGCTCCAAGGGCTCAAATTGAAATGGCCAGTCAATGCCCCTAAGTCTTCCAGGAGCACATCCATGGGACTCGGTACATTTCAGCCTCTGAGTAAATAACAAAATTTAAAACTCCAATAAATCATTAGGTTTGTTTTACACCTTACATGTACTAAACCCTCTATGCGTAAAGAGATTTCGGCTGCAAGGGGCGCAACGGATGCGGACTTGAACTGCATTCGCAAACCATCAGTGGGTGATCTTCCACTCCATATTCTACACGAAGACTCACCAGCACGACACACCTCCCTGCCAATCTTGTGTCCCCAGTACATCACCGGGGACCAGTCATCGATCGCGTTCACCAGCGTTTGAATATGGCCGTACGCCGCCGGCTGAAACGTCCGCCATTTTGACGGATCCCCGAAGACCTTGTACAGTACCGCACTGAACGTGAGATATGCGCCCGCGAGGTACTGGTGTCGTCTGTCAGTTTCCAATACTTGGCGCTAAGAGAATTCTTACCAGATAAAACGACACGAACGTCACTGCCGTCCCGATGCGCCAGACGGTATCGATCTCGTCTGTTCCGGAGAGGGGCCCCCGCAGAGGAAACGCGCCGACGACGAACGCAATGCCGTTCGAGTACAGCCACTGGATGCCCACCTTCGACCCGAACATCATCATTGCGCCCGCCGGGGCGCAGACCCGCGAGCCCCGCCTTCGGGCTGAATCCCTCCGGGGAGGCAGCACGGCGCCACGCCACCTCGTCCGCGACGACGCGCTCCGCAACATCGAGCGCGTGGAAATACAGCGTCAGCGGCGCCTGGAACGCCGCGAGCAGCGCGAGCGCGGCGGTGCCGTTGGTGAATGCGATCGACGCAGAGTTGAGAGCGGTCGGGCCCGTTAGGTTGTGGTTTGGGTCGAGCGTCGGCGTGAAGGTGAGCGCGAAGATGGATGTGCCGATGAGAGTTCCTGCGGGCGGGAACAGCGTTAGAGCGGGGCGCACGTCGCCGAGCAAGGGATGCGTGCGCGAAGGCAGCATGGGGAGGTGGGCTGGTGTGGAGGGGGCACCAACGTCTGCAAGACAGCGGCCCTCGGTGCGGGTTACGAGGCCAAGGGAGAACGCGGCGGCGGCGACGTCGAACGGCTGGGTTAGCGATAGGACGCGAGAGTGATTATAGCCTGAAAGGAAACACAGAGGCCGGTGCGACCAATGGGAGGAAGTGGAAGATGACATAGTAGCTGTCGGAGAAGAGGAGATGGCGATTGTCGGAGCCGTCAATTCCTTCCCGCAAATCGAATGGGACGGTGATGAATCCGGCCGACGCAAATGTAAGAACTGAAGCGACAGCATACGCACTGGTCGCAATAGTCCCCGTGGAAGAAAACAAGCCCCCGGCACTGATGAAAAAGTTTGAGCGCGTCTGACAGGAGAGTGATGATGCCTCCCGCGGTTTCCGACAAGTCGACGTTCGCAAACTCTTGCGGTGGCCACGCAGCATCGACGACGTGGATTGCGCTCCTGTCGATGAAGTATTCGACAGAGTAGTTGCCTTGTTGACTCTCGTCGACAGCGGCGATGACAGTGATACCAACAAGACACTTAAGCTTGAAGTTGAAGTTAAAGAGAAGCGGTTGTGGCGGTGAATGGATATTTGCTCCTTGTTGTGTGTTCTTTGGCTATTCCGGAAGTTCCCGCTCCCAACTGTCACCAAGGGACAAGCGTTCTCCCTCTTCACAACCTCGGGAGTTCACGCTTGTTGGAGACACAGCCTTCGGGCATGACTCGGGCAAGCCGCCAGAGTCAACCTGTGTCCTGTAGAACATTATGGAACATTATAGGACATTGTAGAATAGTTGAGAATATTTTATTGTGACTCGATATGACTCGCCAAGGCTGTTCACCTCTACCTATTTAAACCGATGTATTTCGTACTATGTTAATAACTACTTTTATCTTGAACCACTACAACCACTTGTGTGATTAGAGTCGTGCTCACCCCACGACTTACAAACCCAACTTAAGTAAACTGCGCCAAGAGGTTATGGGCCCCGCCCCAAACTTCTAATCACACAGTTTATTAGCGACACTCTTATTCAACATTTGAATACGCACCGACGATCTACCAATCTACACACTTTCGACTTAGGACATGACTGAACACACTTCAACTCGGATTGAGCTCCTCAATGAGGAGAATTGGATGCCGTGGAAGCGTCGCATACTGGCGATACTCCGGGACAACGAACTAGAGAGTTACGTTGACGGCACCGAGGCTTACCCAACGGTTGCTGACCCGACGAAGCCAACTGCAGACGAGAAGAAATTAATTGCAGCATGGAAAAAGGCAGATGGAAAGGCACGAAGCAAAATTGAACTTGCTTTGGGAAATTCCCAGATGGTACATATTGCGGGAGCGACAACTGCGGCCCAGATGTGGGAGCAACTTTGCACTGTCAAAGAATCCAGAGGTCAGCTAGGTATTATGTCGTATCGACGGAGATTATACCGGACGATTGCAGAAGAAGGCGCCGACATTTCAGCCCATATTACAGAGCTGCGCTCAATTCAGGAGCAACTGAACACAATGAGTAGCCTGGTATCAGACCAGGAGTTCCTCATTGCGTTGATCACGTCCCTCCCAGAATCCTGGGACCCATTCACGAGCTCGTACTTGGCTGCAAACAACGGTAAGTTGACAACCACAACACCCGCACCAGCCAATGTATCTTCATCCTCCACCGGGCCAGCGAGCCCCGTCACCGTCAATTCACATGAGTTGGTGGCCCTCATACTTGAGGAGTATCGACGACGGAAGGAGAAAGCCGGAGAATCGAATGGATCATCAGCACTGTTCAGTAGGAGTCAGAGTACTCACCAGCACAGCAAGTCCTCGAATACCACCAATGATGGGTGTTTTAACTGCGGAAAGGAAGGCCATATGGCCAAGGATTGCTGGAGCAAGGGTGGTGCCAAA